GGATGGCAGTGGCATTTGCTTGGAACGAGTAGCCCTGTGGCGTTGCTGCTTCTTTGGGCTGTGGAGCCGTTGGTACCAATAGCGCTGTCACCATCGGCTTGTGGACGCCATCATCACTGCCCATGGCTGACAGTGGAGTGGCATTGGTCTCCCCATGAACTGATGGTGTCAAAGCAGTGTAGGTGCTGTGACAGTTGGCCTAGCAGCTACCATGACCAAGGCTCCAGTTGAGTTGTCAGTTGGTCCTTCAGGCGATGAACTGAGCTTCATCTTTCGTTTGAAGGTTTCGTGTTCAGCTCTCATGTCTTGCTTGAATGATTCATGATCAGCGCTCAGGTTTCGTCTGAGGGAGGACTCGTGTTCAGCTCTCATGAGGTCGAGTTGCTGGGCACCGGTGACCTTTTGCTGTTGAAAGCGGATCAGCATGTCTTCCATGGCTGGGGTATAAATGAGATCTGGGTGACAACTGGAGCTGTCGGAGACAGCTCTGAAATCTCCCCATCACCCAGCTGGTGGTTGGTCCTACCGTTAGGCCATGGGTGCCGGCCTCTTCCAAGGATGTCGAAGGGTGATTGTATGCGTCTGGTGGGGAACATGTTGACACAGGTGGTGCCGTGTCTTCTCAAGAATGTCAAGACGGATTTGTATTCATTTGGTGGTGCACTGGTGGCGTGTGTGTCCCGATGCCGGTGGCAGTAGGCTAGGTTGCTGTTGCCAGCTCCATCGGGGTGTGTGGGCGGGCACAGGCGGTGTAGCTATTTGGACTTGGTGGCCAGAGTAAGACGTAGTGCCAGCCAAGGTCGGAGTAGCCAGGGCATAGGGTCCTCACATCGCTGATGAACCATAGAAAGACATGTGGCCTCTTGTTACTGACAAAGAAGAGGTTACCTGCTGTACCGGTGGAACACTGGTTTTCAGCTCTTGTAGCAGTAGAATAAGGCTGACTCAACTGTACTTTGAAACCACAAAGGATACTTCCAGTGATCTTGGTATGGGGCTAGGAAATTCAAGTGGTTGGTAATTGAATAAGGTAGACCAGGTACAAGGGCTGGGACCTGTTTCCTGTGTTGCGTGGGCTGAATGGCTTGGATTTGTGAGATTTTGCCACATGGAAGCTAGCTTTGGGAAATGAATCTCCCCACAAAACTCCTAAATTCAAGGTGAGTACCCACTGACTAAACAAAGGATGGCGGATGCAATGGTAACACTTTCAGCCAAGCGAATTGACCTCTTGGTTGCCGCGTGATCGCTCCGAGTTACTCCTTTCGCGTTGGTTGATTGCTCTGACGGGAAGATCGCGAATTCAATGACTCGACGACGTAAACTTAAAATGTGAGCGCTTCCAGTTTACGAAGCTGAGCCTGCTTTCGGTACGGGGAACAGTTGTCGTTTAAGTCTTCGAAATCCAGGATCACAAAAGAACTCGGAATACTGACTCAGTGCACGTCATAAGTACCAAACTGCACGGATTGATTGATTGGCTGAGCGGCTTTTGAGAACGTCGGTTGTTCCAGCGCGTTCCGGAATCGCTGACAACTTGGAACGGAAACTCGTGACAATCGAAACTGCACAGGGGATTGAAAAGAGATAAGCCACTCAAATCCAAATAAATCCAAACGTTCCGTGTAAATCGCTGAGTGGCGTGAAAGGAATAAGCCCGGAAACGGAAGAGATATCGTGCTGTTGCGCTTGATAAACAGCCAGATTCCTCGTGACGTAAAAGGCTTGCTCGATTGCCAGATGGGTGGAATGCAATAAGTCTCCTGTTCTCCGAAACTCCAACACTTCTTCTTTCGAGTGAATTGGCTGCTTTTCCGTGCTAGTGGCTAGCTTGCTATCAAGTTGTCGATCGGAGCTAGCTAGCGTCGAGTAGCTGCTGCCCTTGTCAATGAGGTTGTAGCTTTTGTAGGTCCTGTCAAGGCAATGGTGATGGTGTTGGCCTTGTAGGATGGTAGATGGCCAACAAAGGTGCTTGTCACCGGGTGGTTGGACTATCAAAATCGATCAAGGTTGTTGACTTAGGATCAAAATGGGCCTTGAAACCACCTCAAAATGCCAATAAATTCAATGAATTCAACTGTAGCTGTAGCACTGATTGTTGTATTTGAAGAGATCCTTTTCTCGTCAAGGAGGTCTTTTCTTCCCTTAAGAACTGCCTGCAAATCTATGCTGACTGTAATCCAATAAGTTTCAGTTCCAATACTCCAGTAGTGGACTGGTCTCGCTGAACCCTTCCTCAGGTACAGCGGTAGTCAGGCAGTTCAGGGAGCCTTGTCGTGCCTCAGGAGTTTCCAACACCTCCGTAGCACCAACCAAGGACTTGCCCTGTCAGTCAGACAGGAGGGCCAGCAGAGCTCTCTGCTGGGCCCTTTTGGGCCAGCTCTCCTCAGGAGCTGGAGCCTTCGTTATTCAATCGTGCAGTGGCAGTCTGGGAACAGTACTATCTGCTACCTCCTACTGCTTCTGCCCGGCTCAACAGGATTGGTATCAACATGCTGCGGTATCAAGGGCTACAAGCTATCAGGATCGGTCTCAATCTTTCGTACTATTTTCTTAACTATGGTAGAAAGGACGATCCTTTCTTGCTGCTTTGGCTGGAGATAAGCCAGCTGTGGGTGCTGGAGCCGTATGCCAGCATAGCTGTTGGAGCTATCTCTGACGGGATCCAGAGCTCTCGCTCCTAAAAGTTATCGCGATTCACTAATTCTCAGTGTCGTACCGGCAATTACAGCATTACAGCACGTATTCGTGCTAAACTCACTCTAATTCACGCTACGGGTACAGTACTAGCTCGTATGCTAGTACGTCTTTTTTATTAAATGCTGAAAGTTGAACACCGCCAATTACCGCAGGTCTGATGAAATGAGGCTCGGTCTTATCCAAGCTTCGCACCTTCGTGGCTTCGCACCTTCGCGGCACTCAATATTGAAGTGGTACTCAAGAAGCCATTTTCAGTTGGTGAGGCTCATTTTTCTTCTCGCACCTTCGCCACAGAGCAAGCAGGGTGGGTTTGGAAACGGTATCTTTGATCACAAGCAATTTCCATCGTACGATACACTCCTCGAATCAAGCCAAGTGTTGTTGTTGATCAACTCGAACGCAATCAAATCTTCTCTAAACAGTCAACTCCAAAGCATAAGACTAGATAACGCATTACCTCTTAATCTCTAAAATGTAGTTACCATCGTGCATAGTTAGGCTTGTGTTCAGGTGATCATTAGCATCGAAGTCGCTGGAAAACGTTGCTGGAATCTTCTTCTGCAGTGACGAATTCTTCCTTGATAGTGCAGTGTTCGCAGCTCACAAATCTCATGAAAATGAGCTCTCAAGAGGAGGAATTTACCCAAGGGCACTCCACTTTGCCAGTAGAGAAACTGTGCGCCTCTTCATGTGATGAGGAAGATGATCTGGATAGAGAAGATGATGATGACGAACCAGTGGTTGTCAAGGCTCCTGCCGCCGCCCCTGCTACCCTTGGGCAAAGAAAAGGCAAGAAAAGGCTGAGATTCAGGGAGACAATTGACCAACCAAGCCAAGCAAGAAACTTACTGAAAGCATCATTTTCTTCCTCCAAGGTAACTGTTGCATCTGTTGTGCCATGAAAATAAGTGGCACGTATCTCTGGACTATCATCATCATCTGCCATGGCTGCTGCTTTTGGTTTTTGTCAACTTTGCCAATTGGGCATTGTGGGTGAGAGGGAGAGTTCGCAGGATTTAGCTAGCTAACTAACTAGCTAGCTAGCAGCAGCGGGTAAGAGTAGTTAGTTGTCCAGCCAGCTAAAAGCTAAATATTGAGCCTACTAGTACCACATATCGAGCCTGCCACGTATCGAAACTGCCACGTATTGAGCCTGCCACGGTATCAAAAATTTAATTAATGTACATGTACCATGTCCCTTGACCCTTGAGTGGTTCCTGCCAGCTGGTTAACTGCTCTTCATCTTCAATGGCTTCTGCTTTCTGCTCCTTAATTAACTTACATGACATATATATAATATGTAGTGCACAGTGCACAGTACTGCTTGTCTTGTTGGTTAAAAAACTAACTGGTGGCGAAGGGGCAATAGGGCTTGGCTTTGTCAACAGAGAACACCTGATAAGTACCTGTAAGATTGAATCAGGATGAGCACGCATCTTGGCCCAACACAGCAGAGCTGGCAGCTTATCGTGGAAGGACAACTCTGACGCTCTTCCCACAGCATTCACAACCAGTTGGTTACCTTGTGAAAGATCGCTGGCTACCATACCACCAATACAGTAGCCACCTCAGAGGTAGGAGCAATAGGTACCGGTACATATGGTAGATAGCTAGCTAGACCTGTATTTCTACTTGTATTATGTTTTCCTTACTACTAGAGTAGCTAGCTACAGTAGCTAGATGGTACGGGTAGCTAGGTAGCACCGGTAGCTAGTACGTTAGTGGCATACGGTGGGCGAGTAACAGTTGTGTCGAGTGGAGTCGTGTTAACTCCGGTCGAAAGCTTCGTTTTTATTGGATGAGGAGTCCTGTCACGGACATGATGGGTGATAGGTGATTGGTGGAAGGATTGGGCCCGGTGACATCACCCATCACCCATCAATGAGATGTGTGATGGGTGATGCCTGCCTGGGATAGGGTCGGCCTAACCTCTAAAACGAACACAGAGCACTTGGTTTGGTGCTCAAAGGTTGTCTGGATCATGCTGGAGCCCATCGGTGTTGTTGTTGTGTTGTTGACGACCGACACTTCGTTGTTGTTGACGACCAAACAATACCAGCGAGTTTCCGCGACCGAAAGAGAAGCTACCATGAAGCTAACAAGCGGAACGAGCTGCGGAAGCTGCGGAAGTTTCGGATTTACGAGAAATGAAGCTACCGCTACCATACGAAGCTACCACTACCATACGAAGCTACCCAACAACAAGAAGAGGATCGGCAACAGTCTCGCTACCGCTACTACACAGGATCTCGAGTTGCATCATCAGCAACAAAGCACCGAATTTGCAACCAAATCCTTGGCTATCTCTTGCCTTCGTTGTCTCCTTCTACCAATGGGGTATCCATCTTGAAGGATTCAATCTCGTGCACATTGCTAAAGCCTCCATACGCAATCATGGGTCCAATGTTCAGGTCTTCATGGGCGAACCTGGGTAGGTCGTAGAGGCCACAGTGCGTCTGGACAAACTTGGACTGAGAAATCACCTGAGACACATGAAGTTCCGTGCGCTTCACCAATCGATCAGCTACATCCCGGGGTAGCTCGTAGTCAACGTCATCTTCTGACATACTCATGCCACTCATGGCAGAGTGGGGGTACCCTTCTCGAGACTACATGACGAGAACGTCTGGTTCACGACGTTGACTGCGGGAGCGGCTCAAGCAAGGCTCATGGTGATGTTGTCGTCTATTAGCTACTTTGATCGGTTGGTCGAAGGGTATCGGGAGATGAATGGAGGCAGTTACCGATATACAAGTAGCAGTTCTAAGGCAACCTGAGCTTCGGTCTTCTCATGAACTGGTTGGTTGAGAGTTTGTTTGCAGCTCTCTTTCTTGCACTGGTATCATCAAGGCGTCGACTTCCCACCTTCCTCCTCTTCCGGCAAGGACTGGGCACTGCTACCACCCGTTCGTACGACGACCGACGACCTTCACATCCACCGTTTCCACCATACTAGCACTGTGGTACCAGTGGCTTTGGCACACCGCTACCACCTGCCAACTGCCCTAAGAAACACGCAGCAAAAAGGCAACAATCAACCATAGGAGGCTACCATCACACAAACTACAGCGTTTTGTGACAACTGAGATCTACTAGGTGTTATCATTGAATCTGTTGCAAAAGCTAGGCTACTGTTACTAGACAACACACAAGATGACCCTATCATCTGTTCCGCAGTACCAGTACACGACAACACACAAGATGACCCTATCAATTCTTCCATGATTTCTTATAGCCAGCAAATTCATCAAAACAGTAGCAGCAGGCTGGTCAGTGGTTGAGGCAGCGGTGGTTGTCTTCTTCTGGTTGGATTTCGTTGTAGTATTGGCAGCCGATTGCTTCGAGGATTTGGCGGCCGATTGCTTTGAGGCATTGGCGGCGGCGGATTGCTTCGTGGCAGATTGCTTCGAGGCATTGGCGGCAGCGGCAGATTGCTTCGAGGCATTTGTGGCGGCAGATTGCTTCGAGGCATTGGCGGCGGCAGATTGCTTCACGGCGGATTGCTTGGCAGATTGCTTCGAGGCCTTCGCGGCGGATTGCTTCGAGGCATTGGGGTCTGGAGTCGGCTTCAGTTTAGGAGTCTTCTTGGAGGCAGAGCCAGAGGCCATGCAGCCTTGAGATGCTGCCGAGGTACAAGATGCTGTCGAGGTACAAGATTCTTCTGAGGCATCCGATTGGAGAGGAGGAGGTGGGACTGTATCCTCAGTAGGTGTCTTCTTCCGGGTGGTGCCTAGTATGAGGTTCTGGGCTTGTTTGGTCTTAAGCCATGCCATGTAAGGTACCAGACCTGGTCGCTTCTTGAGTTGCTGAAGCAATTCTATGTAACTCCGAATTTCGTGCTTCTCCTCGTCATCATAAGGTCCTCTGAGCACGTCCTCGAACATTGTCTTCTCGTCCTGGTTCTCAACCATGATGCCGTTGTAGAGTGTGCAAAAGGTTGATGTGATGAGCACCATATCATATTCCTTGAGGCTCCGAAGCCATACCGCGAACATCATAAGCCAGTGCTCAACCATAGGAGTCCAGATAATATAATACTTGAGATTCTCTAAGGCTTGAAGGGTGTCCCAATTCTGAACCATAATGTCTGTGTGGACAATATGAAAGTGTGAGGTAACACGTATAGTTTGTGCATCGGCACCTGCTGCATCCTGGATTTCCTTGAATGCATCCCGAATATCCCATTTGGCATCAGCTTTCGCTTCCATGTAATAGTCTTGCCAGTGCTTGAGGATAGCTGTGACAACCTGATAGTACACAGTTGTGTCGAGGAGGTCCAGGGCGTTGGCGTTCATACACTTGGTTGCAGTGTACATTTCCTTACAGGTGCAAATGAATGCAGCTGGGGTATTGGCAGCACTTGTCACGTGTTTTGCAAAGGGAGCAAGTGCATTGTAGGTTGGGTGACGATCCAGCATGAAGGACATGAACCCTTGGTTCCATTTGAGGTAGAGAGAGTGGCGCGTCTCATTTTCCATGAGAGATTCCACACATAAAGTATCACCCTCTGCCAAGAGGTTCACCAAACCCATAGTGTTCTTCCAGGCACCCGCGCCAGAGCCTGCTTCAACAGCTGTCCGAAAAAAAACCATCTGTGGCATTGGGGAACTTGTTGAAGATCTCCAGGTTGGTAAACAGGAACTTCACCAGCAACTTTTTCTTCTGAAGGCAAGCGTCAGGTTTGCTTCCAAGAGCTCGAAGCTTTCGAATCCCTTCTTTGTTCTTCGACAGAGCAGCATGGAGAAGTGGGATGAATACAACAAGTTCATCAACGGGTACCGCTTTTGGGTCTGGGGCAGTCGCACATACTTGCTTCAGCTCAGTGAACAACTTCACCGCCTCCTCATCTGTTTCAATCTTGATCTTGGGCTTGGGCTTGGTCTTGCTTCCTTTGCCAGGTTCTTCATCACTATCTTCAGTTGCCGGCTTCCATCCCTGCTTGGTGTACTTGTAGGCGCCTGGTTTGTGAGTCATAAAGTTTTTATTGTCATCACTCACTTCGACTACATCATCTCCATCTCCATCACAACTGGTGCGTCGTTGGGCAAGCTTGGTCTTGGAGGACCAATAAATGGTCCAGTCACCTTCGTCATCATAAGGGGCAGAATCATCATTGATTCCTGTGGGTCGTGGAGAAAAATTCAAAAGTCAGTCCAACATGATTCGACAATGACACGGTCAGCCATTATTCAATTGCTCACTTACCACAACAACTAGTACAACTAGATCACTTGTTGGCAACAACAACCTCTGGTACTGCAAAACAAGCCCTTGAACTTGCTAATCTCAATCTGCTAATCTCAATCTATCAGTCTATTGATTGCAACACTTGGTGATGGAATCAATATTGTGATTCCAAGGCAAGATTTGCGTGGAAAGCAAAGGCAAGATTTGCGTTGAAAGGCAAGGCAAGATTTCTGTCAATGGATGCTCTGGACAGTCTTGCACGTGGTCCTATGTATGTCCAAACACAATGTCAGCCGAGTCACAATTACAGCTTCACCTAAAGGATGTGCTTCAATAATTTACTTAAAATAGATATTATCAAAGCTACCTAGTCTACACAATACCTACATGTCTTTGTGGAATGAGTCTTTGCTACCCTAATATACTTACACGAGTGTCCTTGGCACTGGGCACAAGCTGAGGATATCCGATGACAGTCTGAAGACATGAGCTGAGGATGACAGTCAGAAGACTTAAAGATCCTTCCCTTAAAAACATGGCAGCTTACTACTGTAAAAGTATTAGTTTGTCCCTGAGACGTAGCTTGCTTTCTACAGAGTTGTTGCTGGAGTGAAATAGCAATTAAGAGCCATATGCATGCAGTCCTACATGTCCAGATACACATGCGCATGTTCTTGTGAAATTTCAGACACAGTGCAGTTAAGGAAACACTCTACTGTCCATTCTGCAGTACTGAAGTACCATTACTGCTACACCCAATAAACTACTGCTTCTCTGATGATGAAGTTTTATTTATTGTTCACTCTCTCATGGCATGTGGTTCCTTTGAAGGGGGAGATTTATGTTGTAACAGCAGACTGATCCAGCTCGTGGAGACACAGCTTGCACAGGTTCTTTTGAAACACAGTCTGTATGTGGATGACAGCTGGCTGAGAAAAGAAGCTTTCAGAGAAGCTGCATCTGTGGGCAACCTGGTTTCTACCAGTACTCCATTCCTTTTTGAGTTGGCCAACTTCAAATTACATGTGGCTTGTGATCCAACCATCCAACAGGTGAGAAAACGAGAAAAGCTGAAAGATTGAGCCAGCTGGGTAGATTTATTTCTAAATGCATGGTCAGCTCATGGTTCGGTGTCACACTTGAAAGCTCACTTGAAGCAGCCAAAATGTCAAAATGTCCAATCATCAGATGATGTTCTTCGCTGCTTTCTGAACATCTGACCATCTTCTGCAGACATTGTCAGACAAATCATGCATCCCTCCATCGATAGTTCCTACTAGTTTCCACAGAACCATTAATTTTGTGCAAGCTGTCACTGTACCGGTACTGTCTGCTGTCTAAGCTGCACTAATACTAGCTAGATCTAGCAGTACCATATTGTACATTATTTCTGCCCTCTGCAGGCTAGCACTAGGGTCGGTGACCAACTGTGTTTTAATAGGCCTCTTTACATAAGGTACATTTTGGTCTTGGTATTCTGTAGTCCCATGAAGCTGTAGCAGTCGACCCACTGTGTCTGGGGTCTGAGAGGGGGCGCTGGGGGCAGGAGCAATCGGCCCAAGCTAGAAACGGCCCAACAGAGAGAATATGGAACAACAGGAGAATATGCAGTAGATTCCAGCACATTCTCTACACAGGGGGGTATACACCCTTTTTGGTATGTGCCCCCACCCATTTGCACAAATCGTACTGTATGCAGCTCTGTGTACATTTCTACTGGAGCTCTACTGATATTCTCCCTCTAAGTCCAATAATATTGCGAGACAGCTGGAAGACAGGTAAAGAAGGGTGGTTGCGGTAAATAAAGGGTTACAGTTAAACTTTACTCTGTATTTTTGTATGAAGACTATAATTTACCGCAACTACCTCTACTCCAAAGTTGTCTTCCAGGACCTCTGTGGAAACGTCATTCGTGGCAAATTACTTAGGAGACGATACACCAAGGCTTAGGAGACGATCGAAATGATTTAAGAGACGATAGCTTTTGTCTCCTATATTTAGGAGACGATTCATTAGGAGACGTTCCATTTAGGAGACGATCGTTTCGAAACAGGAGACGATCGTTTCAAAACAGGAATCCGAAAGATTTAGGAGACGATACCATACAGTTTACATGGTGCACTTAGGAGACGATCCGTTGAGAATAGGAGACGATCCGTTGAAAATAGGAGACGATTTAAGAGGAGACGAAAGATTTAAGAGACGATCCGTTTTGTCTCCTATTTTTAGGAGACGAAATTCATTAAATAGGAGACGATCAAAAGGATTTAGGAGACGATCGGTTGCACGACTCGAGTTTCCACAGAGGTCCAGAGTGAGAGAGAGAGACAATCTTGATTCTTATTGAGAGAGTTAACAACACGTTGAGTGTTGATAAATAAGACTGTCACATGGTTGTTAACTCTCTCAATAAGAAAGTATTCTGATGCAACAAGGAACATCATCATTACTTGGTTAACTAGGTAGCCTTTTCTTGTAAATGTCCAATTGCTCACGAAATCACCATTAAGTAATTGTTGAAGGTTGATTTCTGATATTAATAGCTAGCATGTCTGGGTACTCAAGTACTTGGGGCTTGGAGTACGTATATACTATGACGTGCTGACGTTGTCGCTGCTATGCCCCCCCCCCGGGAGGAGTTCTGGCATGGGTTTTCCAGTCCACTGATGCCTCGCACTACCTACTTCAAGAGATTTCAAGATAGACCCAGGGATCCCAAGACTTGGTGGTTGTGGAGGAAAGCCTTATCCCTGTTCGCTCCGAATCTGACGTGGATGTACCCCTGGGGAGGTGCTCGTCTCTGCTGACAAGCTCCGCATGCGACACAGGTTCTTCTATGAAGTCGATGCCAACGTCGTATATCAACAAGTTGACAATGAGAGTCCAGAATTCTGGATGTTCCAACATCCAGTCCGAACAAGGAACGGACAGTCATCGCTGGGAGTTCGGAGATGAGACCTACCTGGCGCCAGCATCCTACACAAATCGGTGCCACTGGATCCCCCTTCCCACGATCTTGCACCTCTGTCCAGCCAGACCTCTGGAAAGCGGCGAGTCCTAGACCTGCCCTCTTCAACAAGCGTGAGACAGTGGTAGTTGGTAGTGGTTTCACAGCGGCATTCCTGCTCGTCCACTACACCCCACACCGACAACATTTTGAGGATTTCCTTGCCACCTTGGAGCCTTGGAAACAGCTCTCTTTGACGAGCTTGAGTGGATGTGGACGCTACTCACGTCCTGCAGATTGTCACGGCCAGGCCCTTCTGGGTGGCCAGCGATGGGGCAGCAGACATTGAAGCCGGTAGGCGAGTTTTGCATGGGTCCTGGCAGACAACCGCAGCCAAATTGTGCTTCGGTGCTCTGGACCAGTTTTTGGTATGGTTACGACTTCATACAGGGCAGAGGCCTATGGCATTCTATACCCTACTTGCCTTCTTCGACGATTGCTGGAGTTCTACGATCAGACCAGCATGAAGAATTATGTACATTTATGCGACAATGAATCTGTGACGAACAAGTGCGCTAGTTGTCTCGAGTATGAGGGATTGTACCCCAATGATTCGTTGGACGCCGACTGGATGTTCTTGCAGCAGATCGAGGCTTCGTTCCGGGCTGCAGTCACTGTTCCCAAGATGGAGCACATCAAATCGCACCAGGAGAAGCACAAGGCCATCGAAAAAATACCCCTAAAAGCACAACTGAACTGCAGAGCTGACAAACGGGCAGGCATTAACATGACCAGACACATCCAACAGGATCACTCCAGGGTACTCCGACTTCCGGCAAACCTGGCCCAGCTGCACCTTCCAAAAGGAACATGCACATACAAGCTCCCAAGAACACTGCGGAATCTCAGGAACGACCAGCCACTGGTCGACCACATTGTCAAACTGATTCCCGACTGGGACGAGGAACCCCCTGCACTGGTTGATTGGACAGCCATGGTCGAGCTGTCAAACGTCACGAGATCCACAAACCGACATTTGTGAAGTTCCTATTTCATTTGTTGCCAGTTGGGAAACGTGTCCACCGGGATGACCCCCAGTATGATCACCACTGTCCCGTTGTGGCGGTGATCAAGAGACTGAAACCCATGTTTATCGATGCCCGCATGTTGATGTGGATTTGTGGCGAGGGCCCATGCAACGAGCGATCAGAACAAGGTTGCGCAAGGATTCCACAGACCCTTTCCTCCTGGAAATTGCTATCTTCTCTCCTGTATGTACTACAATACCACTTTGAAGATCGATTCCTCCACCATGGCACTACCCTGACAGGTATAAGGACCTCGTTGACACTCAAAATCTCATTGGTTGGGACAACTTCCTAGAGGACGTTTGTCCACCACTGGGCTAAGATCAAGATGCATATCTGCATCGGGTCGGCTCCCAGGAGACAACCAAGACAGGCAGCTCTGGGTCACCAACTAGCCTCACTGCTCATCCAGCAGTGTGTGGAACCTGTGGGAGGATCGCAATGCTGCCAGGCATGGCAAAGACAGGAAGACCAGTGGAAGAAGAAGCACGAACAGCTTCAGCGGGAGGTGGAACTCATCTACGAGAAAGCGGATATGATCCCAGCGGAGTGGTGGACTTTATCTTCAAGCGACCGCTTGACGGCAAATGGCAAAGGGCCAGGCGACATCAAAGCGTGCTTGCCAATTGGCTGCCCGTCGTCGACAAGGCACTCAGGGACGAGCATGCACGCACAATGCAGAACAATGACACAAGGTAACTACGCCAGAAGGGGTCCTGCCGTAGAAATAGATGGCAATCCAGCCAAGGGTAGATAGTTAGCTGCAAAGCCCCTCCGGAGTTTTTAAACTTCTCCGGTGGGGGGCTTGCACTAGGCCGGTTCCTATGTGGGCGTCCTTGTACGTCTGAGGTACTCCGGTTCAATATGGCTCCGTTCAGCGGGTGGTCTATTGAGGTGCAGCCTAAATAATAAAACTTCGTTATTTTAGGTCGCTGCTATGCCCCGCTTGAATCCACATTGTCCATTAAATAATGCTTGAAGCAATCCTTTCTGGCACTGAGTTTTCTGAAGACGGTGCTGGAAAGAAAAGAAGGTTCAAAGAATGACTCCTCTAAGAGGGCTCTAAGTAACAGCTAAAGAACCACGTGGTACTGAGAGAGTGAACAATAACAGTATAGACAGTAGAATGTCCTCCGTGCAGAGTACACGTGCCCACAGTCACACTGTCCCTGTACAATGTCATTATTTTGCTTTTGACAGATAGAAAGCGTCTGGTGTCTGGTGTCTGGTGTAAAAGGATACAACAGAAACCATGTGCAAGATGTAGCTGTACTGAGTACTGTTTACAGTGAATTTATTTACTCCGCAGGACATCAGTGTTTCCAAAGAACTGTTGCAGAAGGCCGACTGTGTCTGAGGTGGGAGGAGAAATCGGCCCAAGTTTGATCATAATATTGAGAGGAGAAATCGGCCCAATTTTGATCATAATATTGAGAGACAGCAGACAGCAGACAACAGACAGCACACCCATTGGAGTGTTTAGGAGATAGATTGATTGATAGAGATTATTGAAAGCAAGGTCAAGCTTGTTGACTTTACTGGTAAGTGAGCAATCAAGTGATGGCTGACAGTGTCATTGGTCATTGGTGAATCATGATCATGTATTCTTGTAGTTGGACTGACTTTTGGCTTTTTCTTCACGACCAACAGGAATCATGGATTCTGATGATTCTGACTACATCCCTGACTGTGAAGCCCCTGATGAAGCCCATGATGAAGCCCCTGATGATGATGGCCCGAAGAAGAAGGAGGACGAAACAATGTGGGACTACGTGCCCCTCTGTGAAGACATCAATAAGAAGTGTGACGACGAAATCATCCGTGGCATGATTGACTGTCGTCTTGGAAACAGTAACAACAAGAAGAACACAAAGCTGCAACTTTTGTCCATGATGAAGGACACCAGGGGCCCAAAACTTTTTGAGGATGCCATACAGGATGATCGGACTGCGGCCTATCGGACTGCGACTGGGTTGCTCAAGGTCTCTGCATTGTCGTTGGAAGAACTCCAGCAACAAGGCAAGGAAAAGATAGGCAAGGACAAACACGGCGAGGACAAATTCAAAGACAAACCCGGAGATCAAAGACACTACATGACACATGATGTGTTTGCTGCTATGATGCACATCAAGCTGCGGGGATCCCACAACCTCACACACCTGGCTCCTTTTGCGGATAAGGTGAGCACTAAAGACGGGAAAACTCCAGCAGCTTTCATCAAACAATGTAAAAAACTCTACGTGGTCGAACAACACCTCAAACAACTCAACAAGAAACCAGCTGCTTCCAACAAGAAGCATGCAGCTGTCCAGAAGAAGCCTGTAGCATCTGCTGGCGGGACCCGGTCCAAGGAGGTTGCTGTGCTCTACGAGGTTGCTGTGCTCTACGAAATTGGAGATGAGATTATTCATGGAATCAAAAATAGCCGTGAGTTTGAGTTCAAGATATTTCGGGAACACAAAACGATTCCGAAGAAGGAACTCCTTGGATCAATCTGAAACACCATCACCACCACCACCACCACCATTGAACCCAAATGGCTTCTACTCCATCCATAACACCCCTCCTGGAGGTTTCAACATGAATATCCATGATTACCAGCACAGTTTGTGGGGAGCACGTCCTCGCTTGCCTGCACCTGGTCAATGCACTGTGCTGCTGCCACTTCCAGTGCAACGAATGCCATCGCCAATCCCTCATCAACCAATCGCTCAACAGAGAGCTCAGAAAGCTCCAGAAGTGAACTCTCTTCCTACCACCGCTACAGGAAATGCTGTGGGCGAGACGAATCTTGGGAGGCCTCCTCTTCCACAGAAGAAGAAAGCAGCCAAAGAGAATAAGGAATTGCCCAATGACCTTAAAGCATTCCGTTTCGAATTCAGAAACTGCGTTGTTCCTGGCGAGGATCTTGACAGCAGGAACAAGAAAGACCCAGGGCCGCATAAAGTGGCTATGGGCATTAGAGTGGGTAAGGAGGGAACTCCCAACTACAAGTACTACGATTTGCAGATAGATCTGAATTCTGCTCAGTTGCGACAACTGGCAAAGAACTTCCGTTGCAAGAACATCGGATCAGTTTCAATGTTCAAGTGCCGAAGAGAGATGGCTTTGGCAATTGACATGGGAACTACTTATGACAACATGAAGGTCCCCAGTACAGTATCAACAGCAATGGTCCCGTTCCTAAGTGGGCGCCTCTGTGCGTCTGAGGTATGCGGGTTCGTCACGGCACCGTTCAGCGGGATTGTCTGACGAGGTGTGGCCTTTAAAATAAAATTTTGATATTTTTGCAGTATCGACAGCAATGGAAAAGAAGATACAGTCACTGATCCGGCTAATAAACACAGTGTTTCTTCCTTGCTACATCGACCGCTTCCTAAAGCTTAACGAACGGTTCGACAGGAAGGCTTTTGAAGCAAACAGTGGACAGAATCCCATCAAGAGGTTCTGGAATGATGTGGTGCTGACGTACATTGATCCAGAGAACAACCAGCAAATTGGCATGGTCATGTACTCTGACTTAGACGGTGATCATGACTGCGACGAATATCTGCAGCAAGCAGTGGAAGGACAGTCAATTAACCCGGTCGATTTCAACAGCTTCACCAACACAATCTGCCAAGTACATCTGAAGGACTTGTTGAAAGCGAGAGAGCAAGTTATTGTTGCCAAGACGCAGTCAGGACAACATCAACCATTTCAAGACTACTTGCGCAAGGCACATCTGACAGTGAGAGGTACCACCATGCCTGGAATTCCTGTCTACTACCTGAACAAGAGAGTGGAAGAGCAGCCTAACATTGACACAGCGCACAATGTCTTCATGCCCAAAGCTCTCATGTCAGATTCTTCTGTTCCCGCATCCAGACTTGCCTCCACTCCTCGCGACTCTGACACTGAGCAAGAACCAAGCAGTGGAACCAAGAGAGATCGACAGATCCTGCAAACACTGGAGCAAGCGGCAAGTGCATTCGAGAGTACCCAAGAAACTGCGGCATCAATGAGGGCTTCTTTTCTTGAGAAGGAGGACTACAGAGAATATGACAAGCTCGTGGACGAGTACGTGGATATCCAAGACAGTTCGAAAAGCTGTCGAAAGAGAAGGAAGCTACCCAACATGACAAAGCACATCAAGGCCTTGGAAGCCAAACTCAAAATTCCTACTGAGGAGAGTATTATCGAGGAGGAGACAAAGCTGAGCAGTAGCGACATCGACCACTAGACAATTAACAACCTACTACTAAGAGAGCGCTGCCCTTTCCAATGTCTCTGTTCGTTTCCTTTTTTTCTTGTTGTTCTCCCACCACTTGCCCGCGTCAATAAAGTCACTCCGTGGCCAATAGCTTGTTAAGCTAAATGAGTAATTTAACCCCCTGTTCTTAGCCAAGCGATTTCCAGCAGGTCTAGTAAGCTGAAGCGTCTCAACTCTGCGAGCCATGGCTTCGCGAAGATGGGAATAGCCACCAGAGAATTCATCAGTGCTGTCCATGGCTGTAAGTTGAATTGGGTCACCGTTTTCATCGTGCGGCACAGTAGGAAGGTAGCCAGATACCCCTTCGCTCGCATCATAGGCAACATCTTGTCTTGGATCGCGAGACGTCTTCGTAAGACGCAACCTCTTGTTACTACGGATTCGAGAATAATTGTCCCCGCGAAGCAAGACTGGTTTCTGTGACACAGAAATTGGTCTCCTGTAGAGCTCCTGTAGAAAGCCTACCATCTCGATTTCAATTCCTGTGTCATGAAAATCGCGAGCTCGTGATTCAGCCTTGAATCCTGCACAATTTCTGGTTCCTCCGTTCCTTCCTCAATTTACTTAGAGTTCATGCCCCGATTTCTGTGACATAAAAACTTCTTCTCATAGCACAGAAATCAATCTGGCTTCGCAGAGTCAATTCTTTTCGAATCCGTAGTAATGACAAAGTTATGCAGTCTGGCAATTACCTGCACAAGAGTACCAACGTTAGTGATGGAAATAACAAGGGGCCTCCACAAGATTCCCCACTTCATCTGCATGATGCCGAAGGCCATTTCTACTCCGATTCTCACTTGGCTGGCGTAAAAGTTGAAGTTGTCGTAATTGGGTTCAATCTGTCTACACCTTGATAGATGGGTACCATGTGCTCTGTAGACTCGTAGGCAGCCTCACCGATAACGCATATCCCTGCTGGGAGAGCCTCCACTTTGTCATAGAGGTTGCAGCGGCGAATAGCCTCCCTGTCACCTGTTACTCCAGGAGCTGTCAATGCAATAAAGGTGAACCGGCTGTGGTGATCTGCTGCAGCTTGCTTGGACGTTTACGCCATAGCACTGGTAGTGACCAGAGAAGTAGGATCGGACGTTTCCAACATGTCTTTTCGCCGGTACCTTGGTCCTCATGAGGTAACCATCGACAACAGAAACACAGTTGTTAATGGCACACTCATGGCTGATGCTTGCGAAACCGTCTATTGCCTCTAGAACCTCCTCAGGTGTCTGTGGAAAGTGAATGGCAAGCTGTTCGCAATGATTGAGAACAATAATTGTCTTCCAGACAACTCTGTAAAAGGACGCTTTAGATAAGCCTCCAATGTCACATATATCAAGATAAGAACCACCTGCAAGCCAACGAAGAGTGCAATAAAGATATATCTCGGGCAATATGGCCCCTCCTCTCTTCACAGCAAAGGTCTCACGCACAAGGAGATCTGCGTATACGTAGGCAAGTAGAATGTCAAATGACTCTTTCTCCATTCTAAGACGTCTGGCAAAGGTTCCTCTTTGTGTGTCTTGCAAGTGCTGTAGGATTCCCATGCCAAGCGCTGTTCATAAAAGGAAATCCCTCTGTTGGCTGGCAGTAACTTTATTGCGCATATGAACACGATGGTTAGCAGTAGCAGTTTCCCATTGGTGGTATCAGACAACACATGATACTGATTAAAGCCATCCATTATCTAGCTATTGACAACCTTTATGCCAGCATACTAGTACGTGAGAGCTAACTACAATGGAAGTTCTGTTTCCAGCCAAATTTGTGAGCAGCTTGGCTCAAATTTGGTGCCGAATGCTGGCTGACTTGCAACACATAGGCGACTCCAACAGATCATAGGAAAAGAAGAAATACCTTCGCGACCCTGTAAAACTTGTACGCAAAAGGTTGGCGAAGGTATTTCTTCTTTTCTCAATCATGTTTGATGTCCTAGCTGACTTAACGGCGAATCGGCGAAGGTGCGCAAACCTTGGATAAGACCGAACCTGAGAATCAGGTGCCAGAGTCCGGAGGTCGACAGCACCTTGAGGTAAAAAGCCCATTTGATTGAAAGGGAGGAAATTTGATGATTTGAATGAGTCTAAAATGTCTTTCCAAGGAGAATTGTCTGATAATTGTCTGAAAAGAAACCATCCATACTTCAGACGATTGTTAGATACCCATCAGACAGTTGTCAGACGATTGCTAAATCCTGCTTCAGACGATCGCTAAATCCTTCAGACAATCACTGGTTACTATTGCTAACGTGAGGAAATACTACTTGAATAGAGGGATCTCGTAGAGGTAGCTACCACCCAACGATATCAACCGCGCTATTCAAGACGAGTGCAAGGTGAACTGCAAAAGTTCGCTTCTTAGTAATTCATAATCTTGTGTTGTGAGCTTTGTTTGATGCGATCGGTAAAGCTAGCTTGTAGCGTGTTAGATGAATGCATCGTGGTAGTTGATCTTGATTCATACGGAAGTCAACGTGGGATCTACATGAAACGGTTCGTTGGCAGGATGCTTTACTCCTGTCGAATACTCCAGTTTGCTGTTTCTTTTGGTTTCGTTGAGAACGTGTACTTGCCAGTGTTCTCTGTTCCATCGTGTTGACTCATGAAGCATGACCCAATCTATTCACGGATACTCTGAGTTGTGGGAGGAACTGTAGCTAATGCTTTCACTATCAGTCATTATCCGGTACTGGGTACTTCATAGTACCGATACTTGCATCAGTACCACCGTTCCGAGTCATCTCCAAAAATCGTCTGACAAAATAAGGGCCTTCGCCAATAATCGTCTGAAGAAACTGTCTGACAGAATCGTCTTCAGATGATCCTAAGTTAATTGTCAGACGGTTAGAGCTACTGTAACGCTTTCACTCCCCTCAGTGGCGACTGTCGACTCTCAGTGTTTCATACCACAGTCCTTAGTATCTCCTGACCAAAACAGCAGTGCGTTCAGCATAGGCCATACCGATGAGTAGTCCCAATGTTTGCTGAGGATGTCTGCAGGGTTAGTAGATCCAGGGATATGATGAAATCTCAAGATACTTGCAGCAACAGCTTCCCTAGTACGGTGGTAGGAAAGTGCATTGTGTCTTTTGAGAATCTTTGAGTGGGGCATCGATGCGGTGTTGACTACCGTCTCATTGTCTCCGAACATCATGGTCGGTGTGTCAACCATTACTCCCAGGTATCTGAATGTGCTTCGGAGGTCAATGATCTGTTCAGTAGCAGTACGGGCTGCAACGTAATCGGATCCAAA